ATAATCACTCCCCCCCCCCCCCTTCTCCCCTTACCTATGTTTTTTGCTCATTTTTTTAATTTTGATAAACCATTAACAATTTCACTTTCATTTCATATTTGTTTTGTTAATTATTTTCAGTGTGGCATTAAACAAATGCCCAAAATGTATGAAAAACAAAAAACAACCTTTATTTAATTTGTAAATATCTCTGAAAAGCTTTGTTCCAAAACATAATTTTAGTGTCATAAATGAAACAAATAATAGATCAAAATAATGACTTTTTATCTACAGTAACACAATTTTTTTGTAAACTGACAGTGGAAAAAAAAATCATCTCTATTTAAATATTTTTGTCTAAAGGTTGTGTAGAAAATAAAATATTTTTGCAAGACAATATCATTGAAAGAAAAAAAAAAACCTGATCCAGAAAAATAAACAACAAATATGTGTATTACTTTGTTATCTTAAGTAATGACAAAGTTATTGTGAATATACAGGCCCATAGTGGAAATGTAAAAATTGCTCTGGTCCATAGGGGTGTGCAGGTGTGAGAGCTGAAGTGGTTAAACAGGGTACAAACCTCAGATATAATGACACGTACTACATATTTAAGACCAATGGACCTCACCTGACCACTGCTAACCCATTGCGGATCTCTCCCTTCATAACTTTATCAACTAACTGCAAGACAGAGCCGGCAGCCAAGCAGGATGTAGTGAACGAAGCCTGTAGACAAAGAACATTTTATATAAATAAAGCCAAAACCTCACTGCTTTAAATTAACTTCAACATCATTTTCTATAGTCTGTTAAAAAAAAGCTAAACAACATGTATATGTATATGTAAACAACACTTGGCTTCCTGAACTCTAAATTTGAGAAGATTGAGTAGTCTAAGGGGAAAACGTTGTGTCATCGGACCACCCACTAATATATATGGTCGACTTTAGCAGCTCGAAAAGCAGCACCAGCTTCATGTTAGCAGTAAAAAGAAAAGAATGGAGAGCTAGCAGTCTGGCAAATAATCAGCTTGATTCTCCTGCATGATCTCTGCTTCATCAGCATCTCTGGAGGTCCCTAGGTGACATTAGGGGTCTTGGGGACCCCTGATTCCTCTATAAGGCCCATTCACACTGAGCGGATTGCAAATCGCGCAATTGTCATTTTGCGCGATATCGTGTAAATGTTTGCATTGGGCTGAGTACAATTGCGCGACATCCGCTCCAAAAAAGGTTCCTACGACAGCGACGAGCACAGCTCTATTGACATGCATTGGAGAGCGATATCGCACGGCAAATATCCACGCAATAAAACGCTCAGTGTAAATGGGGCCTAAAGAGGACCTGTCATGTAAATTGGCTATCACATAGGGAGCTTCTTATTCCCCTATGTGATAGCAATAAAGTGTAAAAAAATAAAATTAAAGACGCATATATATCTATATATTTTTTTTTTAAAAACACTATACATTTTTCCCCCGCCCCCCACATAGACACGCAAACATGCGCTGGGTGCAACTACCTGCGAAAACAACGATTGCGCCTATTATGCCGCACATGTTACATATCACCGCTAACGTCGGAGTGAGAGAAATAATTCTCGGGGCCATTAATCACTGATCACACTAAACTGATGAGCAGTAAAAACGTTTAAAGCGTCGCCTATGGCCAATTTTCAGTGTGATCGTTTTTTGCATTTTGTGGGCGCATGCAATTTTAAGGCTTTACATGTTTGGTGTCTATTTACCCGACATGACCTCATCTTTTATATTTTACCAAAAATATGGGTAAGAATTAATGTTTTTTTAACATAACGTAGGGAAAACATTTTTTTTTCAAAAGTACGGTACTTTTTTTCATTATATTTTTATTTTCTTGATGAGAGACTTCACTTACAGGGTGCAGGAAAACAGAATCGTAGCGATCTGACAGCTCTCTGAGTTCTTCCTCGGTCATCGTTTGAGTGGACTTCATCAGCTCCACAAAGTCCGGACTAAACAGAACAGCAAGAAAACACAAATTAGTTACAATCTTTTCTGTTTCATAGCGAGGTGGCATTTGTGTCCATCTCAGAGGCATCATACCTGTGAACAAGCAGGAGATCTGCATCAGACGCCTCTCTAGCCTGTTGTAAAACAGAGTCACATGATCATAATGGAGCGATAACAGATTCACTCTGTCATTGCCAAAAAGTCAGCCAAATAACAGTTATGGCTCTTTTTATTCTAGGTGGACCTATGATTAAAGCCTACCTTTACTCTGCCTGTGCAGGGTCATACAACTTTCCCACTCCCTATCAGCACATACCTTTTCCCTGTCCCTCCATTTAACCATCAGAAGTGAGGAAAGACAGCCCTGTGTAAATACCAAACCAACTTTTTAGAGCTTAGACAGGCCCAAGAACTTTTACCATGCTCCCATGTGACTACTCATGACCAATCAACATCACTGTCACATGGTAATTCATCCCTACCGATGGCTAAAAGAAGAGGTGGGTGAGCGAAGGCGAGGGCAATGTATGCTGCTGGTGAGGGGGAGTCTGGTAACCCAGTTATTTTTTTAGCCTACACAGGTAAAGATAAAGGGTCACATTACTTTTTAATACATACAGTATTATATGATCATAATAAAGATTGTATTTGATCTTTTCAGACATCCACACTGTGGGGATTCATGTCTCTAGGGTAGTTATGGCGAGTTATATAATAAAATATATGATATAGTGTGAGTCAGGAAAATAGGTGAAGGCCAATTGTTCCACTTTAAATATTCTGCAACCCAGCGTGTCTGTCTCCTGAGAAGAATTCCAGGTTAGCATCTAAATACATAGCTTATATCTATATATATTACCTGGTTTACCTGCCTAAAGAGTTGTAGTCCTGATTCACACACTTCTGCCACACCAGTGACAGCACTATTTACTAGAGGTGCACCAAAATGGAAATTTTAAAAACGAAACCGAAATAAAAAGAATTGTCAGGCCAAAACCGAAAATGTTTTTTATTGTAATTTTTTTCACATTTTTTTTATTTTATATCTTATTTTTTATAAACGTTTACATTTTTTTATATTTATTTTTATTTATTCATTTTTTAATTTACTTTTAGGGGCTTTGGGGAAATATTAGGGGTCTAAACAGACCCCTGATATTTCCCTTTTAAAATAGAAAAAGAGACAGATTGAGAACACAGAGTCCTCTATCTCTTTTTCTGTCTCCCCTGTTATCAATGAACAGGAATCCTCTATGAGTGTTCCTGTTCATTGATAACATGAGGACAGAGTGTGTTTACTATAAGTACAACTATGAATGCCGGAATGTGATAGGCGGCTGAGCGGTGTGGGAGGAGAGACACCGGCCGCTCTCCTCTCGCAGCGCTCGGCCAGCTATCACAGTTTCTCTCCTCCCCGCTGGGACACAGAGCAGCGCCCAGCGGGGAGGAAAGAAAGCATTATGCCAAAAGTGCAATTTGCGGCCGATATGTTTTGGCGGCCGATATATCGGTGCATCCCTACTATTTACTGGTGCAGCTACCCAGCTTTCCATGTCATACATACGTACATGAGAGAATTCAGAAATTTACAAACTTTGTGTGGCTACTCCTCCAGCTCAGTAGTGATGGGCTCGGGCGTGTTCGCAGCTCCACGTGCCGAGCACGCCAGGAAGCTGACAGTGCCGCAGCGCCAATCACAGGTACTGAGACATTTCCAGATCTCTGCAGCTGCGGACTGGGATAATGTCTCAGTACCTGTGATTGGCGCTGCGGCTCTATCGGCTTCCCGGCGGGCTTGGCACGTGGGGCCGCGGACACGCCCGCGCCCATCACTACTCCTCAGCATGCTAATGCCTCCAACTGACTTCCAAAAATCAGGTAGGTGGCACATTAGTGTGGGATATATATATATTAACTAGCCCAGCTTTAGATACAAGATAAAAAGGCTTCAGTACTTAAATATAACAGGTGACTGATGCCCTTGAAACCAGCTCATTATACTGATGGGAATGTGTGGGGGCAGACAAGCTTTGACAATGCCAGGAAGTGTACAAGCATCACACCACACCAGCATCCCCCTTGCCTGCTGTTAATAAGGTTTATAAAACCCCACTGACTTGCATTATGCAAGGACACTTGGCTCTTTTGCGAAACATTGTGCCAGCCATGACAGTAGGAAAATGTCCTACTGATGTCTTTCCCATAGTGCCCAGCAAGATTGAAAAGTGTAGCTCAATGCAGATGTAGCTCAGGGGGGCGACTTAAATGTCCGCCATCACCTGCGTTACTTAAGCCATTACCCCCGCTGACATCTTCACTACTTGCAGCCCCAAATCATCTACCAGCTATGTAACCAGAAATTTAAATATGTTCCAGGGTGTGAGCATGTCTCCCCCAAAGCATGTCCTAGTACACAAGATCTGAACCAAAATAAAATAATAAATCAGAGTATCAACAATGCATTGCAAGCTTTTCTGATTCCATGGCCATGCCACACAGTGGGCAGACACAAGTAATTAGGTAAATTAGAGCTCTTCTCCTATATATTAAACCATTTCAACATCTTATTTTAAAAAACAGTTTTTTTTAATTAGATCTGAGTCCTTTACTTTCATCAGCATTCCTTATTCAGCAATTTGCAAGTCTTGCAACACTTACGGGTACTGAAATACAGCGATCCACCAGACCATACTGTGCCAGCTTCTCTCTAACTGCCAAGATGCGTGCAGGACCCTCTGGGAATCTGAACAAAGAGAAGCAATGTCAATTCTGACAATGGTTGCAGTAAATTATCATATGCGAACAGTCACCTCCACTCATAACTAAAATATCAGTGCATTCACTACATAGTCACGTGGAATATCCACACGGGGGGCACTGACAGCATTTTGGTTGGGGTAACACTGCCCCTAATAAACTTTCCAGAGGAATAGATGGGAAAATGGTCTGCTGGAGGAGGAAAGTGCTCCCTGTTGGGATCAAATTGTGCCCTTCACCTCCTAAACCTTAAAAATGTTTTGAGTGGTACCCCACTTTAACAATAAACACATTTTAACCATCATTATTTTTTATACAGATCATTGTTTTCAGCTATGACTGCCAATGAGAGCTTTCGAAGGCAGTAACTTGGCTGAAAAAAGCATATTGTATACGCTATAACATAATGAATTGAACCAGCTCTAAGTGGCAGGGAGAGTATGTTTTAATCTCCCCGCACTTCTCCTTTAAGAGAGACATAACTTTTCGACAAAAATCAGAGAAAACAAAAGACACTTGACAATAACAGTCCACTTCTATGCTATCAAATGCATTACTTGTCATCCCAAAGACAGTATGGCAGAGTCAGTCGGTCATCATATACAAGGCCAGTCCCTGCTGCGGGTAGATCTCTGTTCAGGCGCTATTAAAAAACAAAAAACACACACACATTAACATGTACTAGTTTAAAGATTTTTGGCACGTTAGAACCTAAAACAAGCCTAACACATCTAGTATCTGTTATTTTAGGGAAACGCAAACCCAATGCTGCCAATGTGAATAAACGCTTAGTTTTCAGCCACTAAAGAAGCTAAGAGGCATCTCCAAGCATCTTACCATGTATGAACCCACACCAGTTGCCTCACAAGATACAGACAGAGACCCCATAGATTAAAATAATGTCCTGATGCCATTCAGGCCTCTTACCAGCATATCTAGTTGGTCACAAATGTCCATTTCCGGTGTCTTCCGTATTCGTTGCCCTCTCTTCTTTACTTCCTGCAGCGTTGGACCACACTGGGGGGGGGAGGTTCCTTTCTTCCCAGGCTTTTTCTAAAATGTAACCATTGGTAACATTCAGTTTTCTTTTGATCATAAGCTAAGATAGCAACAGTGCAGTTATAACAAGATTGCATTTAAATGAACACTGAGCTCACAGCGTTTACCGTCACCTCCAAACTCCTGATCCACAAACCTGTTTGTTTCATGTGCCGCTTCCTGTGCCCACCTTGTTCTACACAGGCCCATCACAGGCTACAGTATATGCTCACAGATATTTGGAAATGCAAGGAGTGGCCCAAGGAGAATAGGAAATTTCCATCTAGTAGGTAGAATGCTGCGTGGAAAGTATTTGGCCATCGTATGTTGGCGTGATTTATAAATCATCACCAAAGTGTATCTATAGCCAAAACATTTTTTTTTGCCTTTTCATAGTGAAGGGCATTTTTTTCTTTTCTTTTACTGTGTTCCATTGGGGAGATGTCCCTTCACTTCCTGTGCAAAAGACAGAATAGAAAGTGAGAGAAAATCTTCCTGGAGTGCAGGGAAATCCCCTTAGAAAACTTTTCCCCTTTACCTTCTTTTTCAAGTGTATAATTTTGCATTTTTCATCACCAGAGAAGGTGGATTTCCCCAATGGGCAGAGTGCAATAAAAACCTACTACAGGTCCTATTCCTTTGCCCCTCTATCCAAAACGAAAAAAAAATTTTGATTAAGGATACAATTTAGGGCTAGTTCACACCAAAACTGCATCAGAACTGTCTGTGCAGCTGCAATGTGATGCGTTCTGGTGCTGTTTTGTTTTGGATTTTTTAGCTTAAAATGGGCTTTTAGTTGCAGTCCAGTGTGTTTGCATGCGTTTTTGATGCGTTCCGTTAAAGTGATGAGGTGCAGCTAAAAGGTGGCACGCAGGATTTTTTCTGACTGCATCTTCAACTGACTGCACTGGTGTGAACAGAGCATCAGAAATCTCATTGGAAAGCATTGGGATGAGATTTTGATGCAGCTGTTAAACTGAATGGACTGCATCACAACGGCATCTAATAATGACTAATCTGTAAATGTAGCAGGCCTGCAGAGTTGCCATTGTGTATAAAAACAGTAACAATTTTCAGGGGCGTCCCGAAGGCCGGGTGACACCCCACCGTGACATCATATCGTGCGCGATTACGTCATTGTGCATGTGCGGCCGTCTAATTGACGCCTGCCGGCGGCCATCTCGGTTATGGACGCTGGCAGAGAGAGGAGGGGACGTTCACCCAGCGGGATGAGGTACGCCGCCGGGTCCCCTCCTCCCTCCATGACCGAGTGCCCGACTTTTCAGAGGGGGTGACACCAAAAAGACTGTAATTCGTTTTGGTGTCACCCTTCCAATGGTGTCACCCGGGTGTGGGTTGCACCCCCCTTGTGACGCCACTGACAATTTTATCTACAAAAAAGATTGCTCATTTGCAAATTAGAGTCAGATAAAATAGAAAGGAGGCTACCAGTAAAGGAAATGAAAAGAAATATTGCTTGTAATCGATTGAATACATAAAAAAAGGGGCTCCACATATCGACCTTCCAGACAAGGTCCACCTACAAAATATCTTTCATAGGAAAAGCCTGATCTGAGTGTTGTCACCTTATCTGGGAAAATACTGCCCTTATGATCTAGTGCAAGGCAAAATAAAGTCTTTATCTCTGGAGGAACTAGAAGTCCAACCGGACTCTGGAAGAGGCTTGATGTCAGTGCATGCTGAGCCTTGTAGTTCCTGAGCACCCATAGAGCTGTAAACCATATGTGACCCCACTAATGTTGGACCTACCGTGGTAGTGATGGGAGGGGACGTGCCTCGAGCTTCTGGAGACTTTCGCTCCTGGGGAGATGCCATTTTTTTTCCTTCAAGGTGGTCAATCAGGTCTTCATTCAGGATCTGCAGATTTGATTACATATAAAAAAACCTTCACCATAATCCAACCTTACTAGTGTAATGCTTAGGCAGAGTTTCCACCCACCCTTGGACTGAAACAACAAGAAAGGCTTGTTATGTAAGTTGCAAAACAGCCTAATGAGTTGATTATCCAAGTCCAACCCCAGTGCATGCTGGGATTAGTCCCTGTGGTGAATGAAGCATGACGTCCAGCATAACATTCTACTGTGCGCTGTCTAGTGTATGTCACACGTTGTCCTTGATATGCTACTCCCCCTTCTTTGATACAGGAACATTTGTATTCCCCTTGGGTCTGGTGCAGAACAGATCTGTACCCCTCCAGTCTGTGTGACAGGACATCTATTCTGGGGACCTTGAGGCCTTGTTCACACCAAGCGCGTTCCAGGAGCAGAGCAAAGCAGTTACAGACCGGAGCAAAACTGCGTCCAATGTATTCCAATGGTGTTTTGGACTCTAGTTCACACCGCAGCGTTCAGTTACAGAGCATGTAAAAAAACTGCAGCATGCCCTATTTTACCTGCTCTGTAACGCTCGCAAACGCATCAAAAACGCATGCAAACGCCCTGGAACGCACTGAAAGCCCATTTTAAACTTTAAAAAAAAAGAAAACATTTTTAACCAAAAACGGCCCTTAACCCCTTCGTGACGGGAGACGTACAGTGTACGTCTTGTCACTTTGTGCCTATATGACTGGCCACGTACACTGTACGTGACGAGTTATATCAGGCTTTGTAATGCCGGTATTTGCTGATTCTCAGCATTTAACAGTCATTCATTAATGTCTCAGTATTGAGGCATTAATTAATGAAATAATTAAGCTTTTTGTAAAAGCTTCTTCCTTTCATTAATGAAAGAATGAAGCCGTTACATGCAAATAGAGGACCGCAATTTGCGATCCCGTATTTGACAGCTCAAAATAGCAGAGAGGCAGCAGTGACTCACCTCACCTCTCTGCTATTTGTTTTGACAGCTCGAGAGCCCGATGTTAAGATACATTTCACTCAAAAGATACAATGTATATCTTTTGAGTGAAATGTATCATTCTGGGCGTGGCTGAGCGGACGTCTAGAGACGCCCGCTCAGATCTAGAGAGCTCCGGGCCGGCCGTTTTTTTACTACGGCCGGCCCGGAGGCAGTTAAGGAGGAAAGCAGGACATGAGACCAAGACCTTGTTCACACCAGACACAGTGCAGTCCGGTCCGATTCTGGCCAGAACCCACTGCATCGCATTACGGCCGATTCACTATGTTGTGGGGCAGGAGGGGGCGTGACGGTCCATTGAAGTGAATGGCACCGTAGCCACGCCCTGCGGCCACACAAGGCACATTATGCCTGCAGTCTGGCCCGGTCCGAACAAAGTGAACGAGGCCCAAGAGCTTATTCCACCCTGATTATAAGGGCTTGTTCACACCAAATGCAGACCAGATCTGCATGAGTTTCTGCACACGCAGTGCGTTTGGCTGCGTTTTCTTAGCCTAAAGTGGGCTTTCAGTGCGTTCTAGGGCATTTGCATGCGTTTTGGTGCTTTCCAGAGCAGAAAAAAATAGGGCATGCTGCAGTTTTTCCACATGCTCTGGAACTGAACACTCTGGTGTGAACTAGAGCCCAAAATACCATTGGTATACATTGGATGCAGTTTTGATGCGTTCTATAACTGCTCTGCATCTGCTCCGCACTTGGTGTGAACTAGCCCTCACTCCCTGGATTTCTGCAGACATGGGTTGGACATCTGCAGCTACGTTTTCCCAAAACCTGCACTGACAGCCAGTCCACTGATGCACTTTCCCACTGGCAGCCAGTCCGCAAACGCACATTGCCACTGACAGCCAGTCCATGACTCACTTCGCCACTGGCAGCCAGTCTACCAATGCATTTCCCTGCTGACAGCCAGCCACTACCCCAATAATCACTGACAGAACATAGGGAAGTGTGACCCCCCCACCACCAACAACGCATTTCACAAATGAAAGCCTGTCCAACACAAGTAACCAATAGCAGCCAGTCTGTTAGCCACTGTTAGCCAGTCCTTGTATGTACTTTGCCACTGGCAGCCTGTGCATAGATGCACTTCACCGACAGCCAGTTCACCAATGCATTTCATCACCGACAGCCAGTACACGACGCACTACTCCACTAACAGCCAGTCGCCATTGACAACCAGCCCACTGATGCAACTTGACACTGCCAGGAAGTACACTGGCGCACTTCACCACTGGCAGCCAGTGCTCTGACACACTTCGCCAATGATAGTCATTGCACCGGCACACTTCACCACTGGCAGTCAACCGACATGTGCTTTCACCAACAGCCAGTTCACCAACGCACTTTGCCGATGGCAAGCCAGTCCACCGATGTACTCTTCCACTAGCAGCTAGTGCTCTGACACACTTTACCACTGACAGCCAGTTGACTGAAGTCCACCTTTGCCACTGACATGCTTAATCACTGACAACCAATGCACTGACAGATTGTGAGGGGGGCGTGTCTCCACCAATGTATTTCACTAATAAAAATTGCCACTTTGCCATTGGCAGCCAGTCCACCAATGTGCTTTGTCCCTTGCAGCCAGTCCACTGACACTCTTCACTACTGGCAGCCAGTCCATCCACACACTTTGCAAGTTCACCAACAGACTTTGCCCCTGGCAGCCAGGCCACCAACTGTCAGGATCCAGAGCACCCCCAGGTTGCGCTGGAGCCAGGTCCTGCAGTTCCTGTGTCTCCAGCAGCCAGGAACTGTCAGGAACCTGCAGCTCCAGTACTCACCTGCGGGTGTGCCCCAGCTGTGACGGATCATCCCATTACCTGGTGCTTCCTGGGAGGGTATTTAGGCCCTACCTGCAGTCAGGAAGCTGGCTCAGTATTGCGTCGTCTGCTACCTGAACCCTGCTACCTGAACCCTGCTACCTGAACCCTGCTACCTGAACCCTGCTACCTGAACCCTGCTACCTGAACCCTGCTTGTTACCCAACCACTCTCCTTGAATCCTGTTCCTGCACCGCGCTGCCCTTCTGTTAACGACCCGGCTTGTACCTGACCACTCTTGTATCCTGAGGCCTGCCGTATATCTGCAGGCCTGTTACCCCTCCTTGTTGCTATTCCCCCTGGCTGTAGGTGTGTGTTTGTCCTAAAGGTGGGTTTGTTACTTCACTGCTAAACATGTGGGGGGTTGAGGGGGTTTGTAGTTTTGTTGATGTGTAACACATAAACTGTGTGCATAGAACCCTATCCTGTGTGGGCATATTAATTTGGTCATCCTGCGTGGGTACCTACATGTGGTGTGAGGACGCCTGTGCATGGTACCCTGACACCAACATACTTCGCTACTGGCAAGTAGTCCACCAATGCCTTTTGTCAAAGGCAACCACTCCAGCGACGTGCTATGCTAGTGGCAGTCAGTGCACCAACGCGCTTCTCCACTAACAGTCCACCAACTTGCTTCACCACTGGCAGCCAGCCTACCAACAAGCTTTACCACTGGCAGTCCACCAAGACACTTTGCCACTGGCAGTCTACGACTTCATCACTACATCCAGCACTGCAAGTCTCACTCACCTGGCCATGCCTGCGTATTACGTTTCCCTTGTTATCCGGCTTCACAACAAAGCCCATAGAAGTCTATAGTGATGTAATGCTCAGGCGTGGCCAGGAGAGTGAGACTTGTAGTGCTGCATGTTAACAAACACCAGAGTCCACAGATGTTGGGACAAGAGAAGCATACGGGGGAACGGGGGGGGGGTTATCGGAAAAAGGATCAATGCACTCAGAGTGCACTTAATTGAAGAGAGGAATATTTAACTTGTGCCTGTGTCACTGTTACGCTAGCCATACACTGGTTCAGGTTCATCTGATTCCTGCTAAAAAGTTGTGAGTGGCCCTGTCGGCACCCCACACCAAAAGTCGATTTTTCGATCTACTTTTGTTGAAGGAGCTGGTGTGAAAATTCTCAGCCAAACACTAATTGGATGCGGGAGCCTTTCAGGTATTCCACAGCTGCTGCTCTAGCAGAGGGGATTCCTCCATCCAGGATGTTTAGTATGGATGGAGGGGCCAGTGGATTTCTCTCATTCAGGCATGTGCAGATCACATTTAGTTCACACAGTGCGTTCTAGCCTGAACGCACTGGATCACATCGCGGCCGGCTCACTTTGTTGTTAGGCAGGAGGGGGCGTGACTGTCCATTGAACTCAATGGCACCGTAGCCACGCTCCCCGGCTGCCATGCGATCGGCCGCACAGGAACACAAGGCACATCAATGCCTGCGGTCCGGTCAGAAAAAATGCTGAACGCACTATTTTTCTGACCGGACCGGAAACGCAGGCAATGATGTGCCATGCGTTCCTGTGCAGCCGATCGCATTGCGGCCGGAGGGCTTGACTGTGGTGCCATTCACTTCAATGCACCGCCACGTCCCCTCCCGCCACACAACAAACTGTACCGGCCGCAATGCAATCCAGTGCGTTCTGGCCAGAATCGGTGTGAACGGGCCCTTAGAGAGATTTCTGCTCACTTCCTGCTCTGGGGACAATCTTTTTATACATGGCAGAAGGTAAAGGAATCTCTCCAGCAGAGCCCCCATGTGCAGTAAAACCTGACAGGGGTTCTAATCCTTCCCCACTCTATTCAAAACTAAAAAAAGAAAAGTTTTGTTATTGTTACACTTTAAACTTGTCACAGGCTATAAAAGAGAGAGAATACTTTTCTGTCCTCTGCCAGTGACTCCAACCTCCTGCAGAGCTATGGAGGCCACTTGGTGTGTAGGATACCTGGTCAGATTCCCCCTGCCAGGGACAGTGGTTCCTACCGCCACCTCCAATGCCATTATTGTTCTGTACTTAGTGGGAGGAACCAGGGAATACAGCAGGGAGATCCGGCACCGGACACCCCCCAAGTGTGGGATACCAGCATCAGTTGTACTTCTACCAGTGTGTGAAAATTATTAGTCAGAAATGCATTCTCCTTTTACAGGCTGCTGATAATTCATTTCACTCAGGGAGTGACAGGGTCACTTTAAAGCATTATCTGCGACATTTAGCGGCGTTACGCCACTCCCATATCACCCTACGAACTCTGACGTCGCTTGCTATCACTATGCGCCCTATAAGAAGCAGGGCGGAGGAACAAATAGGCCTCCATCACACTCTTCCATGCACAGGCAGTATATACACGGTGGTAGGT